TGGACTTCATAGAACCGGGCAGCTTGGCGATAGGCGAGAGCCTCCGGGTCGTCTTCGAGTCTTGGAGGAGGTGTCGAGGACGACGCAATGTTCCCGTCCCTGCGGGTGGAAGGTCCAGGGGCGGTTGTCACGGGGATGGTATTGTGGCCGGCATCACTGGGATTGTCCAGATGCCCATTCTTGTCCGCGGGACCGTTGTTGGTGTCGAGGACGCGGGTGTGTTGTTCTTCACGAGTTGGGGTAGCCATGACAGTGAACGGATTGAGCTTTGGTCTTTGAAACTGTTCGTTAGACGGGGAAGCTGTTTCCCACAGACGGCGCCACTGATCTGACCTGATCAGAAGGTTTGGACCGTCACGGCTTACTCCGAGCTGAAGGCTTTTTGAACGAGGAGGGGGGGGGGGTACCTGCAAGGCACTCCGATGCTAAAGTCAGTGGGAGTACTAGCAGATAATAGAGTTGAGGTTAGAATGATGAATACCTGACCCTCTGGAAACAGAGGGTATTTATAGCCCCCAGCGCTGGGCCAAGGTTCCTTCATTGGGCCGGGCGGATTTGGCCCAATGGAGGAACTGCCAGGTTCTACGTGGGTAGTGGGGACCAGCACGTGGTCCCCTTCCTGGATATGCTGCATGAAGTGCGGGCGGACGGAGACGCGGTCTTTCCGGAGTATCGTTGGGGCAATGGTGGACTAAGTCTGCCCTAGCAAGTTAGCTCGAGACCATGTCGAGCTGCGCAGCACGGTGCCGAGCTCGACGCCAAGACCTCGAGCTGGACAACGAGTGTCGAGCTGGAAGCCAGGACATAGAGCTGGACGGCAGGCTGTCGAGCATGACCTCATCGTGGGGCTGGACACCGAGATGTCGAGGTGGACATCAGGGTGTCGGGCATGGACGTGACCCCTTTTGCCCAGTGTGGTCCTTAGTGAGTCCCTTTGGACTGGGCCTTAGTAATGCTTTTGGGCCTGTCGGGCCCAGTCCAGAACAATATCCAACTAGAATCATTTGACTTGACTTATCATCAAGTTTTCTTCTCAACTGATCTGGCACATGTCTATGTGCAATATATCCAAATACCTTCAGATGACTCAAGCTAGGCTTCACACCAAACCAACATTCTTCTGGAGTAATTCCTTCTAGCTTCTTTGTAGGACATCTGTTCAAAATGTATGTTGCAGTCGAAACAGCTTCACCCCAAAATTCTTTAGGTAAATTCTTGCCTTTCAACATACTTCTCACCATATTCATGATAGTTCGATTTTTCCTTTCTGCAATTCCATTTTGTTGTGGAGTATAGGGTGGCACCACCTCATGCACAATCCCTTCCTTTTCACATAATTTGTCGAAGTCTTTCGACACATATTCTCCACCACCATCAGTTCTTAAAACTTTGAGCTTTCGACCACTTTGTCTTTCGACCATAGACTTAAACTTGGCAAATACTTTGATCACTTCACTTTTCTTCTTGATCAAATAAGTCCATAGCTTTCGACTGAAATCATCTATGAATGTAACAAAGTATTTGTTACCTCCCATTGAATCCACCTGGATTGGTCCACATACATCAGAGTATATGACTTCAAGACTAGCCTTTGACCTGCTTTCTGCATCCTTGCTGAAGCTATTCTTGTGTTGCTTCGCCTGCACACATTCCTCACATACCTCATTTGGAATGTCGATTTCTGGCAATCCTGAAACCATATTTCTTCTCTTCAAATCTCTGATGTCTCTGAAGTTGAGATGGCCTAGTCTATAATGCCATATCCATTCATCTTTGCTAGTTGCAGTCGAAAGGCACTTGTGCTCCATCACATTTAGTTCAATCTTGAAGGTTCGATTCTGAGACATAAGAGCCTTCAAGATTAATCTCCCATTTGCATCAACGACTCTCATCATCTTATCTTCGATTGACACTTTATAATTCTTTTCGACCAACTGCCCTATACTGAGCAAATTTCTCTTCATGCCTGGTATGTACAACACATTGGATATTACTGACCTTTTGCCATCTTTCCTCATAATCATAACATCACCAATACCTTCAGCTGCTAGGGTATTGTCATTTGCAAATTTTACCATATTTTTCATTGAGGGCTTTATAATGACGAACCAGTCTTTCCTTCCAGACATATGTGATGAACATCCTGAATCCAAGTACCATTGGTCCTTGAATATATCTTCATCTCTTGTTGTGACCATGAACATCATCTCTTCTTCTTCTTCTTCTTCTTCTTCATGTTTTGCAAGCTTTGCATCACTTCCTTGATTCTTTTGTTTTTCTGGACAATCACTCGAATAGTGACCATACTTCTGACAATTGTAACATTGAATGTGACTCTTATCAGGTTTTTGACCACCACCTCTTCTTCTATTTGAAACACCACCTCTTTGGTTGCCTTGGTATGGTCTTCTTTTATTTGACATGTTTCCTTCAATCTGGTTTCCTCTACCATTCGATTTGTTGTAGCCACCTCTACCTCTGTCGAAACACTTTCCTTTGCCTTTGGTCTCTTTTGCTAAATGTGCCTGCAAGGGCACATCACTCTTCGATTTTCCTGCAGCTCTTTCGTTCATTCTTTGTTCATGAGATTCAAGCGTCCCTTGAAGCTCTTCCTTTGTCAATTTCGACAAGTCTTTCCCCTCTTCTATCGCCACCACTATATGGTCGAACTTAGGAGCTAAAGATCTCAAGATCTTCGACACAACAACTCTTGTTGTTAACGCTTCTCCACATATCTTGATTTGATTTACTAGTTTTGTAACTCTAGTGAAGAAATCAGATATGCTTTCACTGTCTTCCATCTGAAGCAGTTCATACGTCCTTTTGTGAGTTTGTAACCTCACTTCTTTCACCTTCTCAGTGCCTTCAAAGGACTTCTCAAGGATCTCCCAAGCTTCTTTTGCAGATTCTGAATCACTAACCTTTTCGAAATTTTCTGGGCTGACACATTGATGAATTATAAATAGTGCTTTATAACCCAACTTCTCAGATTCTATGTATTTCTTCTTTTCTTCTTCTGAAGCGTTTTCTCCAAGCGCTTCGAGTCCATCTTTTACAAGGTCCGAAAGACCTTGACACCTGAATAATACTTTCATCTGTTTGCACCAATTCTCATAGTTGTCAACTTTCAGAATTGGTAGGGTTGCTAGATAATTTGCATTCCCATAACTTGTCATCGTGAATTCTTCAATCGTTCTTGATTGACACTTCCCTTGAATCGAAACAAAGCTCTTGATACCAGATGTTGGAAATCCACCAAATTCTATGATGAATTTCTACCACAATGACAATTTAATTATGAGACAAACAAAGAAAAGAATACAAGACAAATAATTTTTGCAGAGTTTCTCTCTGCTCACAAACTGTGAAAACTTTCTTATTCACTTTGTAACTGCAAAATACTGTGAATGACTTGCTTGACTTGCTTACAAAAATAGGGGTTACTCCCTCTATTTATAACTGAGCTTACACCCTAAGCCCAAAGCCCAAAATATCTTTTTGTTACTAAATCAAATCTAATTTATTCTAGACTTAAATCAAATCTATTTAAATATAAAACAAATCAAATCTTTTCGACACATAGTTTCGACACATTGGATTACAATTTAACAGATGGTGGTAGCAAGCGTATAGTATGAGTTGATAAGGTACATATGGTTTGTGTAGAAATGGAGAAAAATACAAGAAGTATGATGTCATTGTGGAAACTTCATACACCTTGTATTTATTCCTCATTGTCTCACAAACTATATGAACTTCATTGTTCTTTAAATTCTTATACATGTTGACATGTCAAGATGAAGTATAGTTTATTATAGAATATGTATATTGTTTGTTTCACTATTAATTTGATGTTTTGTTGATAAATGTTGTTAGAGAGTTTGTTATATCATATGATATTTCTTGTTTCACTAACCCCTTATTGAACTTGCACTCATTTGAAAAGATTTTTAAGATAGTAATTTAAAAAATTAAGTTATTCTTGAAAATTAACTTAGACGATCCAATCTTTTTTTAAATTGCATACATCTTATAAATCATAATTCCCTCTTTAACATATAGAATTTCATTCAATGTCACAAATTCTTCAAAACAATGTTGATAAATGGGTCTTATTCAGGGCCTTTCGCACAAAACTTGATGTTTGAAAAATAAATTAAAAAAGAAGAGGAAATAAAATTTTATGTGAAAGAATCAGACTGGCATCCATTTATCAACATTATTTTAAAGAATTTAGAATTAAATCAAATCCTATAAGTTAAAAGAGGAAATCATGATTTACATGATGCTTGCAATTTAAAAAATATTGGATATTTTAAGTTGTTTTTCAAAAATAACTTAATTTTTGTGATTATTGTATCAAAAATCTATTTGAATGGTTGTATATGGTTAATGAGAGGCTGGGAAAAAAAAGTAATCACATATTTTGTAATAAACTCATATATACCACAACGGTTGGAACGTTTAATCATGGTAAAAGACTATTTTTATGCGCTTTAATTTTGATTGTAGATGGGTATCGAACCCGTGCCACTATAATTATTACAACAGTTGTTTGAGTCAACCGTTATCATAGACATTTTACAACAATGGTCACTGAACCGTGATTGTAAGTGTCGCATATACAACCACATTCTACACAAAAACGCCTGGACCCACGTGATTATACGTGTTTTCTAACCTTTGTTAGATGGGTTTTCTGTAGTAGTGAAAACAACATCCTGGCCAATAACTATAATAGAACAATTGATTCGGTCCTTAAAAATTATGGGAATCATTTGAAAAAAGGCTATGCCTCTCAATAGCATACAAACCTCGAAAAAAGTTCAGGTCTTTATATAAGCCATGATAGTATAAAATTCCTCCAGGGTGCTAGGTATCTGGGATAGAAGAATAGCAAGAAGTCGGAAGAAAGGTGTAAGAACCCCTTACTCTCCACCCTCCGACAAGCGATCTCATTTGGAAGAACCTCCTTCAACAGGAGTAGATGAACTATCATCCTAAACCCTCTTGGCAGGAGAAGGAGAAGGTGAAAGTTCTCGATCTAAGAAACCGGTCGTCGTGGTAGTCGACTGACCCACCTCGTGAACCATGACCAGGGTAGTAGTCTCAAATACATTCGGGACAACTACAACATTAGGCATTCGAGTCTCCAGAGCAGAAGTTGAAGCAACAATAGGTGTCATTGGCACTCGGACCGGCAAACCTGTTGTAAGGCCTTCTCCATTAGAAAGCGTCAGAGCTCTCCACAATTGAGCCAACTGATCCATGTTATCTGCAAGACATAAGTTGTATTGTTAAAAAAAGGATGTCTGGATCCTCATCCTCACCAAATAATTTTGCTCTCAAAATGATCAGATGCACTAATTATTACTTAAGTATCTATTTGCCTTTTCTTTTGCTGAAAAGAAAATACTTTGTTAAGACCAAATCCTTCTTCATATATGAGCCTCTGATACCAAGTGTATAAACCCTCTTTCATCTTTACTTCCTTGGGAGACAAAAGAGTCATCCCAAAGTGGTAAAAAGAAATAGGCCGGTTGAAATGAACTTTGGACTAGTACTTCAGAAAATCCCCTCTACAAGAGCGGACACTTCCCACCGGGACCAGAGACGAATAAAAGTCCAGATGAACCTCATAAGAGGTAGGCTTAACCAATATAAAATGCTTCAGAAAATCGCCCCAATTAGAGGTAAAATAGTTGAACTGTGGTACTTGAGGATGAAGGAAGATCAATCCTTGATCTCGGGAATCATCCAGGGAAGTGCGAGCTATAGAAAAAAGTTCAAGGAAGAACCCTAACAAAGGTTTCTAATAATTTTATATGGTTCATAACGACCACCTCAAAATCAAAGAAAGACAAGTGTATCTCCAACATTGTCAATTAAAAAAAGGTTTCAAAATATATTTTAAGTGTGTGTGTGTGTGTGTGTGTGTGTGTGTGTGTGTGTGTGTGTGTGTGTGTGTGTGTGTGTGTGTGTGAGTTCCTTAGTATCTTAGGAGTTACTTTTCTACTTTCACACGACTCTGGTCACTTGGACAGAAACAGTGAGGCAAAACTTCACACTTCCTCTCTTTCACAACTCTAGGGATTTCAAGTTCTTTTTCCAGCTACACCGATCATACAAACACTTCAACAAAACTTTAAGTCTTCTACTTGATGAGGCTTGAGATGTATTTCGGTTAATCACCATAATTAGATAGTTGTAAAGATCTTACCAGCAACTTCAGCAATTATTAGTGTCGTCTTCATCAAAATACATAGAAAGGTTATCAGCAGGATCATTAGCTTCATACCTTCAAGCACATAGATCCATATTTTCCCTCCTGTTTTATGATGACAACGCATCTCTCAGGGAGGGGGTAAATGAGAAATAGGTAGATAAGGAATTTGAGAGGTTAAACTTTTCCTCACATTAGTAGATAATATATTATACTTCTCCCCTTTGGCTTAATAAAAAGGCATGAGACAAACATTGCACATAGATTATGAAGCATATATATATATATATATATATATATATATATATATATATATATATATATATATATATATATATATATATATATATATATATATATATATATATATATATATATATATATATATATATATATATATATATATATATATATATATATATATATATATATATATATATATATATATATATATATATATATATATATATATATATATATATATATAAGACGTGTCTAGTGAGAAATGATAATCTTATATGAGAGTGAGAGGATGAGATAACAATTGTTTTATTTAAAATAAAATATTGAGATTTAATATCTTATCACATAATTTTCATACCCTAATTTTTACCCCTAAGATTCCACCTCTGTTTGCATCATTGTGTAACATCAAGATCACAAGATGTGGTTGGCTCCTAACCCTATCATCTTTGGGTTTTCCTATGCAGAGATCATCAAACACCTTTTTGTGTTCATAATACTTTTATGCATCACTAACCTCATAAGAATACAAAGATATGCCTTATTTGTTTTGTTTCTTTTACAAGATAGGGTGTTGAATCAAGAAGCTCAAGGGGTTGGTTAATAAGGATTTTGTGTGTTCCTCAATACCTCAAACTCCCCCCATTAATTCATGGTGTTCAAGAGATTCCTCCTCATAATAATCAAGCTTAAGTTTGCATCAATTCAAGTTCATCAAGCTTTAACTCATCAGGTGCCTCAAATTAGGGTTTTGGTCAAAATTAGCTTGATGTTAACTTTTTGACCAAAATATGATCTCATGGCTTAAGACATTCAATGGTCTCAAATAATTCTTTATGGTCCATTCATTTGCCTCAGTTGGTTCAAGAAGCTTGATCTATTGAATATTGGAAAGTTTTAATTCAATTGAAAAAGTTAACACAAATGCCTAAAAGATAAACTTTGACTTTAGGGTTTTTGGTCAAAATGGATCATTTCAATTCAAAATTTCAAGAGGTATGATGATTGGTTGATATTTATCAATGAAATCATGGAAAATCGAGGAGTTTAAGAAAATTACTCAAATTGAGAAACTTAAAAAAAATTCTAAGTGTTAAAATTCCATGTTCATGGTAGTGACTTTTCAAGGCTGTAACTTTCTCCTCAAGCATCTATTTTAAGCAAACAAAAGCTGAAAATCAAGATCACATATCATAATATATAATGGTAAAGAGTGTAAGTTCAAAATCATTCCACAATTGGTTATTGGATCATGGCAAAATGAGATGTCAAAGTTGTGGAAATTGGCTAATACTTAGAAAATTTTCTAACTGTCAAACAGTCTCAACTTTCAATTTTGATTGCCAAGTTTCTCCATGATGCAAGATGTTTCTCAGAAAGTATTTACCATCAAAGTTGAAGTCGATTATCTCATATTTCCATTGATACTAAGGGCAAGAATTTTAGCTGCTTGAGCATGAAGTTACTATTGAACAAAGTAGCCATGGTGGGACTGGTTTATAGGTCAGAATGGAGGTTCAAAACCATGTCCAAACCTTGCCTTGCACTCATGACCAACATTCCCATGTGAATTTTACCATTTCTTCCCCCATTTTTTATTGCATAGCATGCCTTGCTCTACACCACACTACACTCCAAACCATGTCCCCAAATATTTCCATAAATGGTGCAACAAATAATGCAAAGCATAAAGCTTTTTTCTAACTTTGGCAAAAAAAAATTGAACAAAAGCATGCCAAACTTATCCACATAGTTATCTTCCGTACTACTCCATCTAAACATAAAAAACTAACCTATCCAACCCTAGCAAACAATGCTCAAATGTCCATCCCAAGCCAAATCCGAACCAAACACGCTCCTGGGGACTCAAGGAAGCTAACCATATAATTTATTCTCTTATGGGTGGCCTGTAAAGGAGCGTCTGACTCTCTATGATAGGTAACTTCTCACATAAATTAAACTCTATAATTTAAGCATAATTTCACTTCATTCTTAATAGAGAACTATTATATAACATGCCATGAGCTGAAGCCCTATGAAAATAAGCATTGGTTGAGTGTATACATGATTTAATTTTAATTTGAAATTCAAGGTTTTCTTTCTGTGTTTCTCATGCCTGCGTAATTTCCAATATGATTCAATGAAGTTAATTGTTATATTAATGTTCCTTGTTAAATTTCGAGTGAAATGATGTATTCACTTTTCATTTTTTGTGATGAAACCACCATGGTCGGTGGTGGTGGCCACCAGAAAACGAACGAGGAAGATGAGGATGATTTGGAACTATGGCACGTCTTTTTTATTTCAGAAAGTGTGTTGTTGCAATGTGATTTGTTGGTGCTTTAACTTTTGTTTTTCATTTTAGATAATAATTATGAGTTTTATTTAAAAATGAAAATGAGATAAATAATTGTTGGTGGATCATACTACTACTGGGCTTAGCGTACATGTTTCTCACACCCCCACTTTTAAGGCCATTTCTGCATTTCAACACATGTATGTGTAATCTGTTTTCAGATTCATACCCCTTTGCTTCTTTTATTTTATATTTTAATTTTTTATTTGTCATTTTGTTTCATTTTAATTTTCTCTTAATGGTATAAAATAGTAAAAACATGTAAATGATATTTTTAGGATCCCATTTTAATCTTTGATTTTATTTTAATATTTTATTTTATTTTTTTATGATGTTTTTAATCAATTTCTTTGTCATGTTTTGACTAATACTTTAAACCACTAACCTTGCTTTCTAGAGACTCTATTTTGATCATTCAATGTCATGCCTTTGCTTGAGATATTGACCTATAATTGTGGCCTTTCTTTTGTTGAGGCATTCATGAACCTTGTACCATCTAATTGATTAAATATTTAACCATGCTATTGATTGAAACATTTTGAATTGTGCCACACCATGCTTTGATTCTTTGACCCATTCTTGATGCCTTCACTTGAGGACTAGCATGAATTGTGTTTTGTTTTTGGTATATGAATACTTATCCACTAGTTGTGATTAATTTTTTTGGCTTTAAACCCCTAATCTTTGAGCCTTAGAGGTATGAACCCTAGTGACTTGAATTCTAGCTTTGATATAAACCTTTTCCATGCATTGATGCTTTGCCTTGAGACTTGAAGGGTTGATTTTAGAATGTTGATAGTGAAGCATGATTAGGGGTTTCATTTTGATGTTTGAAACCTTGTGTTGATTGTTAGATATTTCTTCATGACTTGAACCTTAATGTTATACACATGTTGCCATGAACTCTTTTGATTTGTTCTTGAGACTTTACCAAGATGTTTGAGTTGTTAATTTTGAATTTTGAGATGATGATGGTGATGTTAAGAGTTCAACTTGAGTTTTGTTTTCTCTCTGAAGTTTTGTGTGAACCTTACTTGATGTTTTGACTTGAAACCTTGTCTTTTGCCAATTGTGATATCTTGGTTGATGTGAGATAATCTTGATGGCTGATTAGAGTTTCAATGTGAAGTTACTTGAGATACTCCCTTTGCTCCATATTATTTATCGTAATTGACTATTTCATACAGATTAAGAAATAATAAAAAATGAAAGAGAGAGAATAATGACTTTACCAAATTATCCTTATTAACCATTGGTGTATTCAAATTAGCATTAATATTAAGTTAGAAAATAATAAATTAATAGTATTTATTAGAGGGTAGAATTGGAAGATTAATTGTGAAATTGCATTGGTAATCTAAAGTGACAAGTATTTTGGGACAATTTTTTATAAACGCGGTATTTTTGGATGGAGGGAGTACTTTCTTTATAGGTTATGTTGACTGTTG